CACTTCAGAGCCCGGCACTGAAACCCATGTGGTTCTGTAGGGTCACAAATGTATCAGTTCAATTAAAGTAGGTGGATCATCTCTGTACTTAACCAGGCTAGCGGGAAAAAAATGGGTTTTAGACTTTAACGTAGCACAGTATTAACTCATGTCAGTGTTCAGAGCCTAGTTGACTGGGATGTTATTTTAGTAAATTTGAATGTGATTGTCTATAATGCTGTAATGTTTTAAAGACTTGGTCATGGAAGAGGATCATTCTGTGGTAAGGGTTGGCACAGTGTGTCTTTACGCAGAGGAACATTCAGTCTAGGCATAAGACAAGAGATAAATTGATGGATATAGGCAGCATACTAACATAATGCTACAGCACTGGTCAGCAGGACAGACAGCAAAATTCCTGATCTCTTTCACCTCCGGGTACTTCCTGACATAATATTTTGACTTAAAAATGCCTGTGTGTTATGAGTACCATGTGCATATGTTATTGGAATACTTGAGTTGTATTGACAATGCAAACTAAACACAGAAAATATAGTCACCACCTTGCTGAATCGTGCGTACTTTATTGCCTTGTTAGATAAAGCTGCCCCTTGGCAGCCTTTCCCATCATCTTTGTTTTATTAATGAGTAGTTTTGCCTTGCATTTTGAAACAGGCCATTCCTCTTCTGGCAGACCATGATTTCTGGGGATGCTAATGCTGGTTGTGTATGAGATAAGTGATGACTCCCAACATGGGAAAGATGTGTAAGTAATTTATGAATTAAAGCCTTTTATAGGCTCTTGAACAAACACATCCAACTGCATTCGAAGGAGATTACCCAGTTATGTATTTTTAAAATAAATTATTTTCTTTTTACTTGCATTTATGGAAGTAGTCTAGCCCAAGTTCTCTTTCCCCACAAAATGGTAACAAAAAGGAAATTCTGTTGGGTTGTTTCTGGTCTTCTCTTCTGTTTAACCCTTTCAGGGTTTAGAGCTTTGATTTCATTTTGATAGTGACGTGCTGGTGGAGTGGAAAAATTTTTGGTGTGTTTCAATGTAGCAAGTCTGTAGTTATAAGATACATCACTGGGATATTTAAGTTATTCCTCTGGTTCTGAGGACAAGATTAAAGACTGTGAAATATAGTTCCTTTTGATGTTACTGGACAAACACCAGTTGACTTCAGTAGGTTCAAGTCATTGCTCTGTCTACATACGTGCTTTAGAACTTCATTTATGATAATGAAATTTGTTTATTTTCAAAGAAAATATATAAACCTCACCTAACTAGTATAGCATTTTGTATTTTACTTTATTTGTGAAATTAATCAGAATGGTTCAAGCAAAATTAAAGCAAAGGCAAGATTAGAGGCAGTATAGCCAAAATCTAACTCAGTTGGGGATACCTCTGCCTTTAGTTTTGAAGAGATTCTCAGAAGATAAAAGCTTGGAAATGTTGCTGCTTGAATTAGTCAGCTTTGTTGGGGAGTTTTTCAAAGACACATAACCCCTGCCAAGATCCATTTGCTGAATAGCTTATAGTAAATAGGTAGATTGGAGTCATCTTGTAAACAACTTCGTGTATGTAGTCCAAGAATTGCAGTACAAAAGAGTTTCTTTTTCTCTAGTTTTTTTTTTTTCCCCACTTGGATTAGTAACAAGATGAGGCAGAGTAAAAAAACAAAGGTATGACTTCATTGGAAACTTGCTAAGGTTTGATTTATTATTTTTTTTTATGCCCTTTAACACAATTACTATGTTAAATGTTGGCTGGCAGAACAAATGGAAAGAATATGTGTATTATCAATATTTTTAATGATTTTCCTCCTATCGCTCTTTTAGGGTATAATTACATTTAAAGCGTATTTTGTGCAGTTCCTATTTTTACTCTCAGAAAGAAATTTAGACACCAGTCTGATAAATAAGATTGAGTTCATTTTGATGCCATACAACCACAAGGGTGTCCTTTTGTGTTCTTAACAGATCTTGGGAGGCATTTCCTTTCACTTCCAGTACACCTGTCAATCTTACGTAGTCAAATCTGTGAGATCTGAGCACTGCAGTGATGTTCATTTAGGACGCTTGTGTGAAAACTAGGAAATTATAGGCTGAGATCTTTGTTGCTGGCACCCATTTCTCAACAGTGGACTGGACTGAATCACAGGGTGTGTTGGAAGATTAATATTTTGATTCAAATTTCATTGCTTAGTCTCATCAAGATGCTATTGTACATTAAGTGGATTTTAATGGGAAACGAGGCTTTTCTCAGTCCTCTCTTTATTCTCTAGTTTCATAATTTTCTCTTCCCCCTATTTTCACCATTGTTACTCCTTCGCTTTCCTCTTGGGCTGTTGAATTCTTTCAGTTGTGTTGATCTCTCTTCCATCTCAAAACTCTAGATTTCTCTCTGGTCCACACCATTTGTTTCCACATTGCCTTTTCCTTGTGACGCACTAAATTCCTCTGTAAAAGTGGAGACATACAGTGTCTGTATGTCTGCTGCAGAGCTCCTTTCCTTCGCTGCCAATAAATCTCATTGAACTGAGTTGTTGATTCTTATTCTATGTTGAGTCATTTCAGCCTTTTAATACTTCTCTCTCTGAAGAGCGTTCCTATTCATGTTGGAGATCATCTTTCTTTACGCTGTGTGGTCATTCTAGGACCTATGTCTTCCTTTCCTCAGCTCTCCAAGAAGTCCAGATCAGCCCTGTCCTTTGTCCTTTATTTTGTTGTGGCCACTGTGACTCCCTATTGTTGCCTTAGCTAATTTATCACATTCTCTGTTAAAGGATCTGAAGGCCTCTGCAAAGTTTGGAAGAGTAGTTAAAAGTAGTTGAAAATAGCAAACTTCTAGCAAGATAGTGTTGATCTGAGTCTCTTTGAGATGTCAGGTAGAAAAAGTAAAAGTGGAGATGACACAGTGTGTGTGGATATCTCCATGCTTGAATTGTGTGGCTTACCAGTGCACACTTCACGAGGTGCAGCGTACAGTAGAAGACGACGACCTGTTTTGAAAGATCATCCTTGTAGTAAGAGTTACTATTTCCAGAAAAGACACTTTCAAATGGGAATATCCCAAAGCTTAACAACTTAACTATTTTGTGTTTTTGTGGTTGTTTAGTTCTGGGCATTTCAACCCCTTTGGAAAATGAAAGCATTCTTGTCCATATATGATGAGGAAGTATGACTTACAGACCTGATTTTTTTTTTTTTTTTTTTCTTTTATCGTGGTCAACTCTAGGCCTTCACAAATTAGGCAGTTGCCTGGGACATAGCAAAACAGCCCTGAGGGTGTCCTGAGATGTCCTCAGGGCTCCTTCCTATCCGGCTGGAACAGACTTGCTCGCTGCTTTCTCTGTTCCACTGCTCAGAGAGGTCTGCAGTGCCAACACGGCACAAACTCTCCCTAGTTCTTACTGAAAAAAAAAAAAAAAAATACATGAAGTGTCCAGCATGAGGCAGAGAACGGGCAGATTATCTCCCTGTTGCTCTCGGTAAAGGAGTAAGAAGGAGAAGGCGACACACTTTCCCCACCAGCGTCTTTCACCACCAACTCCCCCCCTTCCTTCTCTATCCCATTAGCCCACATTCTCTTCCTGCCCAGCCCTCCAGTGCTGCCTAATCTCATTTACAGGGGCTGCTGCCAGATCTGCTGGCAGCTGCAGTTTCTTGGCCGCTGTTTTTGGTGAGCGAGCCGAGAGCGCCGAGGAGGAGGAGG